TCAACAACTTTTAACAACAACAGCATTCAACATCAATAACAAGATTCAACATCAACAACAACATTCAACATCAACAACAACATTCAACATCAACAACAACATTCAACATCAACAACAACATTCAACATCAACAACAAGATTCACCATCAACAAGATTCAACATCAACAGCATTCAAGATCAACAACTTTTAACAATAACATTCAATATCAACAACAAGATTCAACATCAACAACATTCAACATCAACAACATTATACAACATCAAAAACAACATTCAACATCAACAATATTCAACATCAACAACAACATTCAACATCAACAACAACATTCAACATCAACAACAAGATTCAACATCAACAACAAGATTCACCATCAACAACAAGATTCAGCATCAACAGCATTCAAGATCAACAACTTTTAACAATAACATTCAATATCAACAACAAGATTCAACATCAACAACATTCAACATCAACAACAACATTCAACATCAACAACATTATACAACATTATACAACATCAAAAACAACATTCAACATCAACAATATTCAACATCAACAACAATATACAACATAAAAAAAACAACATTCAACATCAACAATATTCAACCTCAACAATATACAACACCATTAACATATACATATAATCTACGTCCCCTACTTCCCTTGTTCGTCTCCTTCCTATCAACACAGGACAGACCAGAGGCAAAGACAATCAGAAGTAAAAAAAAAAAAGGACATTCTTCCCTTTGTCTTGTTCATTCGTTGTCGGATTCAGGGTCACCGATTGACCATTTTCAATCCGCGATAAGCCTGGTCTGTATTGACATCCCAGGCGAAGTCTATCGGGCCAAAAAGATGTCATCCTTCGTTTCCCTTTGTACTGTCTGTTCGTTGTCGGATGCAGAGTGACCGACTGACCGTTTTCAATCTGTGGATTGTATGCTTACGGCTGCGAGGTGGGTGGAGGAAGAGAGGTGGAGGAGGAGGTGGAGATGGAGGTGGTGGAGGAAGGGAGGTGGAGGATGAGAGGTGGTAGAGGTGGAGATGGAGGTGGTGGAGGAAGGGAGGTGGAGGATGAGAGGTGGTAGAGGTGGAGATGGAGGTGGAGGTGGTGGAAGAAGAGAGGTGGTGGAGGAGGTGGAGATGGAGGAAGGGAGGTGGAAGAGGGAGAGAGGTGGTGGAGGTGGAGGAGAGATGGTGGAGGTGGAGGAAGGGAAGTGGAGGAGGAGGAGGTAGAAGAGGGAGAGAGGTAAGAGTTGGTGGAAGAGAGGTAGAGGAGGGATAAAGGTGGTGGTGGAGGAGGGAGGAGAAATTCTTACAAAGGAAACTTAACGTATAAACAAGGAAATAAGTAAAACTAAATAATTAGGGAGATAAATACATGAGTAGACAGATTCGTCGAAAAATACATAGACAGATAGATAAATAAATATATAAATAAATAGATAGACTGATATATAAATGAATAGATAGATATAAAGATATAAAGACGTTTCATACAAAATCATACTCTTTGTCAGATATAAATCAATAGGTTCTTGGTTACAGCGCCAGACGAGGATTCAGACACTAGTTCGAAACGTCATTTTCTATCCCGTTTATAGGGTTCATTCCCTCTTTCACAACTTTTTCTCCAATTCTCCAGTTATCTAATTCGTTATCCCCTCTTCTTCCATCTACCCTTATTTTTCTTTTTTTCATATCACCCAGGCCTCGATGGAAGAAAAAGACGAAGGAGAAAAAGAGAAGAGAGAAACAGACGAAGATTCCTCGATGGAAAAAAAAGACGAAAGAGAAAAAGAGATAAGAGAAATAGACGAAGATTCCTCCGGCCGTCTCCTCGTCCTGACCTCGGCGAACTGTGACCTCCTGGCGAGCGGGAAATGGGTCAAATTTGGTCAGGTTTCTGGAGACGTGAACCTGGTTGGGAGGTTTCCGGAGGAGGTGGTGGAGAGAGCGATCGAGAGGGCCACGCGCAGGTGAGGTGGAGGTGGTGGAGGAGGAGGTGGAAGGTGGAAGGTGGAGGGGGAGGGGTAAGGGAAGGGAGGAGGAAAGGAGGTGGTGGAGGGGGCGATGCGAGAGGCCACGCGCAGGTGAGGTGGAGGTGGTGGAGGAGGAGGGGAATGTGGAAAGGTGGAGGGGGGGGGAGGGAAGGGGAGAGAAGGAGGTGGTGAGGGGGCGAATCGAGGAGGCAACGCGCAGTGAGGGGAGGTGGTGGAGGAGGAGGTGAAGGTGACGGTGGAGGGGGAGGGTGAGGGGGAAGGGGAGGAGGAAGGGAGGTGGTGGAGGGGCGATCGAGAGGGCCACGTGCAGGTGAGGTGGAGGTGGAGGTGGTGGAGGAGGAGGTGGAAGGTGGAAGGTGGAGGGGGAGGGGTAGGGGAAGGGGAGGAGGAAAGGAGGTGGTGGAGGGGGCGATCGAGAGGGCCACGCGCAGGTGAGGTGGAAGGTGGAGGTGGTGGAGGAGGAGGGGGAAGGGAGGTGGTGGAGGGGGAGGGGGAAGGTGGAAGGTGGAGGGGGAGGGGGAGGGGGAAGGGGAGGAGGAAGGGAGGTGGTGGAGGGGGCGATCGAGAGGGCCACGCGCAGGTGAGGTGGAAGGTGGAGGTGGTGGAGGGGGAGGGGGAAGGGAGGTGTTGGAGGGGAGGGGGAGGAGGGGGAGGTGGTGGTGGAAGGGGAGGAGGAAGGGAGGTGGTGGAGGGGGAAGGGGAAGGGAGGGGGAGGAGGGGGAGGTGGTGGGGGGGAGGGTGAAGGGAGGTGGTGGAGGGGGAGGGGGAGGTGGTGGTGGAGGGGAAGGGGGAAGGGAGGTGGTGGAGGGGAGGGGCGGAGGGGAGGTGGTGGAGGGGGAGGGGGAGGAGGGGAAAAGGGAAGGTGGAGGGGGAGGAGGAAGGGAGGTGGTGGAGGGGGAGGGGGAGGTGGAGGGGGAGGGGGAGGGGGAGGAGGGGGAGGGGGAAGGGAGGTGGTGGAGGTGGAGTTGGCGGAGGAAGGGAGGTGGAGGTGGTGGGAGGAAGGTGGAGAAGATGAAGTAATGTAAGTGAAAGTAGAAGAGGTTTAAGTGGAGGAGGAAAAGAGGTGGTGGAGGTGGTAAGGATAATGATAATGAGTTTAGTAACATGATGTTAATAATGATGATAATAATAATAATTGTAGTGATAGTAATAACGATAATAATAGTGACAATGATAATGGTAATAATGATAATAGTAATGATAATGGTAATAATAATAATGATAATAATAATAATGATAATAATAATAATAATAATGATAATAATAATGATAATAATGATAACAATAATAATAATGATAATAACAATAATAATAATAATTATAATAATAATAATAATAATAACAATAATAATTATGATAAAAATAATGACGATACTAGTAATAAAAAAAAATAGTACTGAAAAGAATAATGATAATGATAATAATATTGATATGAACTATAATCGTAATCAAATATCTATAATTTTGTTAAAAAGGATCATGCGAAGAATTATTTCTTTCTCCCATCTTTATAGAATATTTTTATTTTCTTCTCTTTTCCCTTTCTTTCATCTTCCTTTTTATTCCCATTTATTCTGTTATTTTTCTCTTCTCTTTTTTCTCCCACAGCTTCGCCCTGCCTTCTCTCGCCGACATTCTTTCCGAACACGAGAAGAGGAAGAAGATAAAGAACTGCGAAGAAGGAATAGGAGGAAGGAGAGAAGAAGAAGTAGGAAAAAGAAAAGAAAGAGAATTAAGAAAAGGAGAAGAAAAAGAAGAAGGAAGGGAAGTAGTTAAAGGAAAAGGAACTGAAGAAGAAAGAAAAGGAGAAGAAAGAAAAAGAGAAACAAACGAAAGAAAAACAGGAGAAACAAACGAAAGAGAAACAGGAGAAACAAGAGGAGAAGAAGAAGGCATAGAAGGAGAAAAAGCAGTGCCAGACAGTGCCATGAGTATGGAGGAAGTGGCACTGTGCCGCCACCTACAGTATGGAGAAGGAAGCGGCCCTTATTCCATGTTTGGCAAGCTCTGCTGGCTGTGGGGGGGGAGGCGGGCAGCGCAGGAGGTGAGGAAGGGGGAGGTGGTGGAGGTGGAGGGGGGGGGGGGTGGAGCGCAGGAGGTGAGGAAGGGGGAGGTGGAGGAGGTGGAGGGGGGGGGGGGAGCGCAGGAGGTGGGGAAGGGGGTGGTGGAGGAGGTGGAGGGGGGGTGGAGCGCAGGGGGAGGTGGAGGAGGTGGAGGGGGGGGTGGAGCGCAGGAGGTGGGGAAGGGGGAGGTGGAGGAGGTGGAGGGGGGGTGGAGCGCAGGAGGTGGGGAAGGGGGAGGTGGAGGAGGTGGAGGGGGGGGTGGAGCGCAGGAGGTGAGGAAGGAGGAGGTGGAGGAGGTGGAGGGGGGTGGAGCGCAGGAGGTGAGAAAGGAGGAGGTGAAGGAGGTGGAGGGGGGGTGGAGCGCAGAAGGTGAGGAAGGGGGAGGTGGAGGAGGTGGAGGGGGGGTGGAGCGCAGGAGGTGAGGAAGGATGAGGTGGAGGAGGTGGAGGAGATGGAGGGGGGGTGGAGCGCAGGAGGTGGAAGGGGGGGTGGAGCGCAGGAGGCAAGGAAGGAGGAGGTGGAGGAGGTGGAGGGGGGGTGGAGCGTAGGAGGTGAGATCGGGTGGAGGTGGTGGAGGAGGAAGGTGTAGGTGGATGTGGTAGTGGAAGATGGAAGTGGTGGTGGAGGGAGGTAGAGGTTGGGCGTAGGTAGAGGAAGGTGGTTAAGGTGGAAGAGGAAGGTGGAGGTGGTCGAGTCGGAGGAAAGTGGTTGGGTGGAGGTGGATGGAAGAAGGTGGATTTAGTGGAAGAACGAAGAACGTGGAGATGGAAGTGGAGAAAAGTGGTTGGGTGGAGAAAATGGTTAAGAGGAAAACAGGTGGAAGAAGAGGTGGTCGAGTCGGAGGAAAGTGGTTGGGTGGAGGTGGATGGAAGAAGGTGGATTTAGTGGAAGAACGAAGAACGTGGAGATGGAAGTGGAGAAAAGTGGTTGGG